GTGTGGAAACGGCGGCCCACGGCCCCGGAAAAAGCTCTTCTGCAGAATCCCCCACGCCCACACGGCCGGGATCTGTCTCCACCAACACCTGGCCTCCAAACCCTGCGCTCCAGGCTCGGCTCTGGGGGCTCTCTGGGGGCCCTGGCGTGGTTTCCATGGGCTCTGGGAGCCCCGAGTCACCACGAGCCAGCCTGGGTGTGTCTGTCCCACCACCCCAAAACCGGCGGCCGCTGCGCCGGTGCTGAGTGGGAGCTCTGATCTGGCAGTGAGTGGCATGGCTGGGAGGGTCCCCATCCTCTCCTGGTGCCTTCCTGAGCTCTGGGAGATACTTCCCTGGGAAAGAGACCGGCTGCTGGCACTGCTGGCACCACTTTGGCCTTGGTTTTCTGCCATTGCCATAAATCCATCTCTTCCCATGGTGGGGGCTTCATTTGAGTGGGCACGTAGGGAAGAGGCTTGCAGGGGGTCCCCAGGGAGGGTGCAGGGTCCCCGGGGTGCTGCCAGCCCCCTGTGCCACCAGTCTCAGCCAGAGGATGCTGCCAGTCAGAGCCCCCCCAGCCTGCACTGCCAGGGCTGGTTTTCCAGACCAGGAGCCCCCTCCCTTGGGTCCAGGGTCAGCAGGGACACGGGGACCATCCCCACGGTGCCACCTCGGGGTGCCCACCACCAAGGGGAGCAGGTGACTGGCAGTTTTGGTGAGGAGAACACAGGTGACTGACCCCTCCCTTCCCCCCATGCCATACAACACTGCTAAAAACCACCCTGGTGCCTTCTGGTGACCCCATCTGGGGACTCACCTTGGCACCCAAAAAGGGGCTCCTGCTGCAGGCAGGAGGAGCAGGCAGGGCCACAGCGATGCCCAGCAGCAGCAAAGCCCACCTCCACCCCCCCAGCACCACCCTGGCCCCGCAGAGGAGAAGCCCCCAGAGCTCCCCCACAGCCCTTCAGGCACCTTTACCAAAGGAGGTGTTTTTTCCTCCCTGCAGGGAGCCGGGGTGGGGAGGGAGGTGCTGCTGCTGTGCCTTTTTTCTTACAGCCCCAAGCCACAGCGTAATTTCCACCGAGCAGC